CTCTTTTCTCTATTTCCCTTACCACCTCTCTTTCACTTCCCTCTCTCCGCACACCTTTTTTTCTCTTCCCTCCTTCCTTCTCTCTCTTTCTCTGTCACTTTTTCCTTCACACTGTCCACTCACTGCCCTAGCGCCCTCCTGTTCTCTTTCATGGAGAAGCTGTCTCTCTCTCTCTCTTTCTCTGTCTCTCTTTCTATCTCTAGCTCTGTCTCTCGGGTCTTGATAGAATTGTAGGGTGTTGGGGGCTGAGGATGTTGGAAGGAGTGGGGCGTGAGGTGATGGGGTGTGGGGATGGGCTGTCGGTGGGGGTGGGGTGTGGGGATGGGCTGTCGGTGGGGGTGGGGTGTGGGGATGGGCTGTCGGTGGGGGTGGGGTGGGGGGATGGGCTGTCGGGCGGGTTGGGGTGGCGTGGGGATTTGGAGAACAACATTGGGGGGGTGTATGGTGTTGGGGCGGAGCGTTGGTTGGGGGGTTGTGTACGGTGTTGGGGCGGAGCGTTGGTGGGGTGTTGTGTACGGTGTTGGGGCGGAGCATTGGGGGTTGTTGTGTACGCTGTTGGGGCAGAGCGAGCTGAGATTGGAATGAATGGTGGTGGGCCTTTCCCTCTGCAGGTGATCTATGACTTAGGAGTCCCGTTTATTACCATCCTGTTGGCCTGGGCATCCTGTGGGGGCCTTGTCTTCATGAACTGCTTCCTTAACTGGCCCCTGGAACCATTCCCGGGCCCCGAGGACATGGACTACACGTGAGTTACTGCATCTGTCTCATCTTCCCCCCGGCTGCCACGACCCAACCCGACCCCCGGAGCAGGGGCAATGTGATAAACGCTACACACACCTCCCCCCCCCCCCCCCCAACCCCCAAACCCGGGGGGGGGGGAGCCCCCACCCTGACCCACACAAACCAACCCCCACCCCCTCGAATAGCCCCTCCATCCAGTAACAGATACGTCAGCACGGAGAGGGTGTGCGCCCGGAGGGCAGGGGGCTGGATTCCTAGCTGTACTCCCCCACCCCAACCCCGGCCGCAGAAAGTTACACATAACCGGGATGGTGGGGAGGGGCAGGGAGGTAGGCCTGAGGTGGAGGGGGATGTGCGGGGGTGGGGGGGTGGTGGGGTGGTGGGGGTCAGGCCTGTGGGGGAGGGGGATGTGAGGGGGT